GCTCTTCCTCAGTGCGTTCTTTCTTCCTAGGTTTCAGAACGGGCTGTGGTGTTGTCCATTTGTTCTCCCATAGCACCACACCACAGAATCAATTTCTGTAGCTACTGACAATTATTATAGCTTAGCAAAATTATTCTTCCATGTTGACAGCCTGTTATCTCTGTAGTTGTTCCCATATGCCAAGCAGTAGCCACCAACGTGCCTTTTAACTAAATGAATCAAATGTGAATTTCGTACTTTCAAGTAAATCTGGTTATGACTCGCTCCAGTGATTGGCCCTACCAGTGTCTCTTCCCTTTAAACTAAATTCCCTATGTGGACTATTGCCCTATATGGTAAGGAGTGATCGGCAATGTCCCCGTGCCAGAAACAGCTGGCTATAGCTTTACCTATTAAACTGCTTGTGAGGGACTCCACACTTAAGATAACTCTGAAAAGTATTTGTCACAAAGTACTTGCTCCTGCAGCTCTTTTGTTAGCACTGGCTCTTCCACAGCATTTTCCGCTGCTGACATTCAAAGTGGGTTTACAGCATCTTTGTTAAATATCGCCAGTTGTAAGCTTAGCTCCAACACATAGTTCCACTGCTGCCACAGTAAGTCAGAGCTACTTTACTAAAAAAGTTCCTGCTTCTGCAACCAGGAAATGTCAGAGACTGAAATCTGTGGACCTCTTGACTCATCTAAGCGATCAGCGTTGAGCGCTGATTCTTTGGATTGCTCTACCCCTTCTCTTTCACTGCCAGCAGGTCTCGGGAGATAGCAGTTTCCACTGCATACCCTCACCCTGTCTAATAGCGCCATGGTAAACCACAGCCCCTTCCTCAGTCTGGTCCTTTGCACGTCTTGTCACATGGCCAAAATTCAAGTAATTGGGTTTTCTAAGGGAGCGGGTGCTAAGCAGGAGGTCTTATCAGAAGAGGACAGTAAGATCCTCAGGAAAGTTCTCTGTTCTCTCTAAAGGCCTTTTCTAATACTTGATCTTCATTTAGCAGAGATGGCAACATGTGTGCCAGATGGACAAATTATAAAAGGAAAATGGTAGCTTATATTAATGGTGGATGATGCTATAAATTGAGAACAGTACAAAGTACAAAGTTGAATCTGATGAGTTGTCAAGCAATACAACTTGAGAGGGGAGGGGGGGGAAAAAAAAGAAGGACAAACTGACATATCTTATTTCAGAGGATAGCCAGTAACTAGAACTGCTGAGGAAGTCTGTGTTCCTATTACAGTATTTTGCTCTGGCCATTGCCATTGATCTGTCTCCAGTCTCAAGGACTTCCATGAGCATAGATTGCTACGGATGAGTCTCTTCTTTGGCTGCTTGTTGCACATTGTCCTTGCATGCACTGAGAAGCTCTAAGATCACACTGAAGTCATTGGACATCTACACCCTTATTGTTTGGATACCAGAGCTGGTTCAGCTATAGCTCAAAGTGCTAGCACGTGGTGCATAGGAAATTTCATTTCTTTGTTCTGCTTTAACTCCTGCCATCTGTCTCTTTTTCCTAGTTGTACATCTAAAGTGAGATGAATAGTAGCCTCACAGTGACAGTAGAACATCTTCAGCTTTACCCTGTTTTTACCCTTTACCCAAGATCAGTGAGTCTTGGAAGTGAGTACCAAGTCAATTCCATGAATAGTTGTATTTCACAGCCCAGCCCCTTTTCTCCTTGAGGATGGGAGCATAGAGGTCCAAGATAAGGGGAGAAAGATTCCCTTCTTCTGCCAACAGCCACAGAAGCAGTATCTCATGGAACTGGTTCTGCTTTCAGTACTTTGCCCCCCAAAAAAGAGAGCCAGGTGTTCTGTCTGTCAGAATGATAAATGCTTGATTGATTGTTTGTCTTAGCTGTTGTCTTCTCCAGGCAGATGGGCCAGTCCCATTTCTGATGCTGTTCACCACTTTCACCAGTGTTGATGCTTATTAAAAAAGCTCCCTATTTAAAGCTTCTGGGCACATAGTCCCTGAAAAAAATCATCTGTTCATACTGCAGCACTTTATAAGCTATGTACTTAGTTGTCTTTCCTGCAAGAACCACAGGTATGCAGTATGCAGGAGACTTCTTACTCATCTTGGTCAGAAAGTAGTTGAATTTTGGAAATAGTGGCATCTCTACAGAGTAACTCCCGTTGTTCTTCATCTATTAGGAATACACCATGATATGGCGGGTCCCCTCAGCAGACAATTTGAGTTAACCATGAGTGAGTGCTGAAAGACTCCATTCTCACGCCTATATTCTACAGATGGAGTTCCCCTGTTTGCCACCAACCCTCCAGAGCAGGTACTGATCCTGGGCTCCTCTAGATGTTGTCCTCTTGATTTCTTCATTCCCTAGTCTGCAGTCCAGGTTTTATACTTTTCTTTCTGTCTCTCACAGTCTATAGCCTGAGAACAGGAAGGAATATTCAACATGAGTGAATACTAATAGCTCCTTTTGACTCAGTGCTTGTGTCCGTTGTCCCGTCTACTATGATTGCTGGCCAGTCCTCTGGTTGTGCTACCAGAGTTGTGAGAAAAATTTTGGGTGGTTATTTAGGGATGCGGGCAGCCCTTTTCCCAGTCAGGATTCCTATGATAAGATCAATTGGAAGTCCTCCATCTGGGCTTGACAATAAGATCTTGACTCTCCCACAGGTTTCTTTCCCCGTTGCTTTGGATTATTTTGTTGTGCGTAAGCTCTGTGTTAGGCCACGTGAATGGCACCAAGCCTCACAAGCTGATGACCCCATTGCTTTCTCCCAGTTAAAATGTCAGCAGTGTATTATTGCATCCATGCTCCCAGCCTCATGCTGGTTGAGACCCTGGTTGGAAGCGTAGGTGGTTCCTCTAGGTAGTAGGGAGTACAGGGACTTGGATTGAGAACCAGGAGCTGAGGCTGCACAGAGCAGCAAGGTGCTGCCAGGAAAACTAACATCACACATTTGAGTTCAAGCTGATACAGAACAGATCTCACTCCCTCAAGTCCCAGTTCTCGCACCCAGGGAGAGTTGGCAAGACCCAGATGCCAGTTGTAGATGCTCTCCCATCCGTGTCCCGTTTCCTTTTCAGTGTGAAGCAATTTGTGCTAGGACTTCCCTCTAGTTTTCTTTTAAGGATGATATCTGCTTTCTCATTCTAAGTCTGACCAGCAGCCTGTGTTGTCTTCCCCAAACCGCATAACACTGGGGAATCCGAGCACCATACATTAACTGTTTCCAGTGCCCTTTTATTTTTACAAGAGGACAAAAGGGTGCAGGGAATTCCATTCTTAGATTTGCAGCTGTGTGGAAAGCTGAGAAAGCTCAGGCAATGTCTTCTCAGCTATTTTCCAGCTAGATTCCTTGGTGCACCACCAGCAGTGATGAAAGCTGTTTCATGCTGACCTAGACCACCTTCTCAACATGCCTGAGTAGTCCTCTACTGGATACCTGCAGGGCATCTGTTTTGAAGTTTGGTTTATGTCATTCCCATATTGTGACAGATTCTTCATACTTGAAAAAATGGTTTAGGACCAATACCAAGGTTTGTCCCAAGGTTCTGAAGGCTAATTTGATACCAACTATTCTAGAGAAATTTCTCTTTATTTAGGAGGAGTCCGGTAGACTTAGAAACGCTAGACTTTGTAGTGATCTGTGCGTAGACCTTTCAGTGAATGTAGGAACACTAGTTAGTCACTGTAAGTGGCATCTATAAGAAAAGGACGCAAGCTGTATTGCTACTTGACTTACGGTTGTAATGGGTTTGTGTGAATATCTCCAGCCCTCAATCACTGCTGCTTTTGAAGTGCCTGCACTAGGCTCTAGTGAAAGAAAGATGTTTGCAGCTGCTCTGTCCTGTTTGTCCAAGCGAGAAGGTGCAGAGGGTAGGGATGGCCAACAGATTAGGCATGTGTGTGCAAAGTGAAGGTGCTCTGCAGTGTTGAAGTGTGCTGAAGCAGGTGACTGGCAAGAAACCTTTTTTCTTCCTTTAATTCTTATTTTTAAACAATCAATCCTATGTTTTAATAGTGTAATGAATTGACTAAATAAATGCAAAGTAAGTCAGCCCGTTCCCCTAATGCGAGCACATCAGACCTCTGAAATAGTTACCTCTTAGGTATGTTATTCAGTAAGTATTTCTGCTGGAAAAACAAAATATTGCAAATATTCTTATTCCAAGAGGCTTGCTTGGCTTTTCTGAGCTTGTGCCCGAGAATTAAAATTAGGACTGGAGTCTTCGCTTTGGCCAGTAAGTGGCCAGTTGTTCCCATTTAAGGTCAATTTTACCATTCCCTCACTTCCCTTTTTAAGGAGCTAGAATTGTCTTCTAGAAGTTACATAATCGGCACCAGTTTGTATAAGTGAGCTCTGAAGCTCAAGCTGAATTCCACTTCTGCCCCTTCCCCCCTCCCCCCCCTCCCCAGGGTGATGAAGCTCCATGGCATTATAGAAAACAGTGGTAGGAAAACTGCACGTTTTGAGAATGTCTTAAAGGTAGTTTACATCTACAGCCTAATATTAAAACCAATATTTAGATTGCATTGGATTGTACTCTGGAATTGCTCGTAGTGCCGTGTGTAGAGAAGTCTTCAAAAGTTCTGCCCTTTTAGATTCAACTGATGGCAGACTACCATTGCTCTCCTTAAAGGCTTTCTGAAAAAAAGGGTTTAAAGCTGATGAATATGGTTTTCACATACTGCATTTGAGCTACAAGTAGTTAATGCTAGCTTCTTACAAATGAGAACTTTTGCACTGGCAGAGGTCATAGCCTGCACAGTCACAAATCTACAACTTCAGCAGTTAGGATATAAACTAGGACATACCTTTTTTTAATCTAGGAACTTCTTGGGCTAATGAAACAAGTTGAAGGCTCTGCAGAAGGAATGATTAAATTGCCACGCTACGCAGTACATAACATGCTAATCTTTTCTAGCGCATTAAAAAATGATACTCGGATTCCTTAAGATGACTGCAATTTAGTGCCTCTAATCCCTAGAGTAGATGACTGAATTCAAATGCCATTGTTTTAATAAACCTAATGGGGGGAAATCTGTAAATCAATTCTGTGTTTATTTTCCTTCTATTTTTGCTACCCTGAATTTGGCTGCGTTTGGCACCTTTAAATGAAGCCAGTCTTAGTCAAAATTCTTATACCAGCATAACTGGAAGTGCTCCGTGGGGTTGGGATATGGGTTAGTTGTCATCCCTGCCTACTAGTATTTCTGAACTACTTAGGAGGAAAATCTGTCTTGCCATAGGTATACTTGAGCTGATGTTGGTGCATGTTATATTTTTCAGGTTTCTCTGTGATAGTCAGAAAGAGTTGGATGAGCTGCTAGACTGCCTGCACCCACAAGGAGTAAGAGAGAGTTTGCTAAAGGAGCGTCTGCAGAAAAAGTGAGGATGGTTTTTTTTTTGTTTTTTTTTTATGTGCCTTCTCAAAGTCCAAGTATATCCACTTCCTAACAAGCCTTTCTATTCCTGGGCCACATGTTCCCTGCTTTGCTTTGATTGTGTGTGTGCCGAAGAGGAGAGGCTGTTTAGAAATGATAAATTACTTTTTAGACAATAACTGCAAGTTCTGGATCAGTAATGGTCTAAACTGTGAAGAGGTTCTGTCAGTTTTTAAATTGCTCCTTGCAATTGGAAGCAAAGGCAGGAAGCAATTGGAGAGGATGGTTCCACTGTGTGCTTTTCTGTGCTTTTCTGAGAATATTCTTTCAAAGAACATTCTGTACTAGTGGAGCATGCAGATCACACTGGATGCTGTCATTGCCCCAGTGCACTCACAACACACGAGGCACTGACCCTGCACGTGTTCAATGGTTGTTCTTGATTTTGCAGGTATCAGGACATCACACATTCTATCCATTTGGCTCGAAAACAGAACCTGGGCCTCAAATCCTGTGATGGTAACCAGGAACTGCTGAACTACCTCCGAAGTGATCTAATTGAGGTTGCAACCCGGCTGCAGAAAGGAGGGCTGGGATATGTTGATGTGACACCAGAATTTGAAGCTAGAGTGAGTGAACAGGCAAAGTAGCACCAAGAAAGACAAAACCTGAGTTGATACCTTTTGTGGAAGCTCTTGAGTCTTTGGCTCTCCTCATACGAGAGGATCGGGAAAATCACAGTAGTGTTTTCCTGTGCATGTCCTCTTTCCGAACTGGTATTTCAAGATTACCTAGCTGCTGGCTTAAGATCCTTTTGGTATAGGTGGATGATAACTTTGAAGCTAGATGTCTTGCACATCCTGTTTCCCACATCTGATGGCAGGCTTCTTTACTGAGCTTTAGCAGAGCTCTTTGTAGCTGACTTGCAGCTTCTGTGTCAGAGCCAGCGTGTTTTGTGATGAGACAGCAGTTTTCCGCTTGGGGTTTTTCTGTAAATTCAAACTGCTTTAGGCTTGAGGTTATGATTGCACTCCACTTCCAGGAGCTTTATAAAGGGTGTTCTGTTCATGGTTTTGTCCGCCTAAGGAAGCCATTGCGCAGTGAACTAAAGTGTGAATTTTCAGTGCTCTAGCTACCTCAGCCTAATTCACCTGAGCAGCTCTGGTGCACTGAAGGCCTTTAAGAGGGGATAAACCTACTGGGTATGGCTAGAGCATATACTCCTTTGGTTAGTGCATGCTCCTCCTACCAAAGGGCAACGTTTCCTGATTTGGAGTGGTTTGTGTTCTGTTAATCTCCATCCTCAGTCACTGCAGTGACTTCATCCGTGTAAATGAGACCATAAGTTGTAAGAGAAGGAGGGGAAGAGTGAAGTGACAAAGGGAAGAGTTGCTTAGTGCTTGATCATTATGGATTTCTTTTGTTAACACATCTTTTCTTTTTTTTTTCCCTGCACTGACACTAACATTAAAGTACTGTGCATGATCATCAGCAATGTATTAGCTCTAGCAGAAACAGCAGCAATATGCTGAATCTGTAACTACACGTGGAATACGGTGGATAGCAATACTGCATTAAGCATCAGAGGTATCCATTTGCAGGACAGGCTTGCCTAAAACAGAGTAGAAAGTAATGCTCAACTGTTACGTGGTCATATGCTCTTTCTAACAGATATACTCACTGGAGAGCTTGAAGGATTTTGGAGAGTGTGTGGTTGCACTCCAAGCTGGTGTTATTAAGAAGTTTCTGCAAGGCTTCATGGCCCCCAAGCAGAAGAGAAGGAAACATCAAGGAGAGGACTGCGTTGCCAAGGCTGAGGAGATAGATGAAGAAAAGAAAATGGCAGAAGAAGCCAAGGTATTGGTCTTCAGGGCTCCATTTTAGTCCTATCATATAACTCTTCTTTGCGCAGGGATGATACGTTTCATCTAGTACTTAATCCTACATAGCTTCTCCTCGTTCAAGGTTTTGAGTGCGATCGATTTGGGGATCATAAACGTGTACAAGTATCTGAAGGGGGAGTGTCAAGAGGATGAGGCCAGCCTCTTCTCCGTGGTGACCCTGAGAAAAAACTTCTTCACAGTGAGGGTGACAGAGCATTGGAACAGGTTGCCCAGAGAGGGAGTGGAGTCTCCTTCGCTGGAGATATTCAAAACCCGTCTGGATGTGATCCTGGGCACTATGCTCTAGAGGCCCCTGCTTGAGCAGGGAGGTGGGACGAGATGATCTCCAGAGGTCCCTTCCAACCTAAACGATCCCGTGATTGTGTGATACGGGGCCAGATGTTCCCCAGTAATTTGGAGAGTAAAGATAGTATCAAAATAAAAATCATACTGCGGAGTTATGGTAAATTTTCTTCCTATAAACAGGAAACAGGGTCGTGTATTTCATTTTGTGCAGTTCCTTACACAAGTTAGGTACTTGAATAAAAGCTTTTTATAGGGAGCAGTTTTAGAGAATTTAACAGAAGAAGTTAATATCTGTGAGAGAGGACTCATTAGTAAAATTACTGACAAATTACTCTTAATGCCTTTTATCCATGAAGAGGAAGAGAGACATGTAGAGGTTTCGGGGACTGCAAGGGAGTAAGCTTTAGATAAAGACAGTTGAAGTGCAAGAGGACACAATTCGTCTGGATAGTAATACCCACAGAGGATGCTAAACTGTGGGTTGCATACAGCTTGTGTGGACTTTGGAGCTGTACATTCATGCACTAGAAAAACTTTATTGTGGGGATGCAGACATAGCCTCCCAAATCAAAGCTCAGAAGGCGTAGAGAAGAGCTGCAGAGGTTTTGGTAGGGTCCTGCAGGCAGTTGAGTTGCACCCATGTTTCATCCCAAGAGGAATACTGGTGTTTAGGGTAGTTTCTGTGTACCAAGTTGAATGGGATGTTAGTGACCCATGACAGGATTCTTTATTTGCCTTTTCCTTCGAAGTGCGCTGCCCTGATTGACCACTGACTTCAGTAAAAGTAGCAAGATTAGAATTGAATCAACAGATGCATTTGAAATTCTCGACTTTGAAAAGAAAGAGTAGATGCTCGATTGATGTGGGGTTGGATTTTTTTGTTTAGGGGGCTGGGGGCGGGGGATTTAAGCTCTTGTCAGCATATACTGGACCATTGTCATTTGAGCATCATCAGCTCTTTGATAGGTTGTGACATTGCCGTGTTAGCAGGATAATTAGAGGCACTAGAAATTTTCACATTCCTCATTTGTCCTGCAGTACTTAAATTTTATGAGCTCTTTTAAAAATAGATGTTGAATCCTCCAGTCCGTAGCCCAATAGGAATGGCAAGCTACCTTATCCTAAAAGCGATCAGCAGAAAATAAAGCTATAAAAATCAGTTTTCTCTGGGACGGAATCACGTTTCTCTGCATCACCAAATTTCATATGTCTGCAGCAACACCAGATCTTACCTGGCTTTCGGAAGTGTGTCTTACAGGTATAACTGTTCACACTTGAAAGTAATATCAGCTTTACTATGATATCTAAACGGATAGCAATTTAGCAGTACAAAGTCTGTATTTGAGCAGTGGTTACTTCCCTGCTAATCCTAAAGCTATATCAGATTTCAAAAGTAAGCTTTTATAACGTGAGCCGTTTTTGATCGTGAGTGTTTGATTTAGTTTCTCCATTCCACCTTAGAGCATTGCTATCCTACAGAGGGCATGGTTACAGAGCATCGTTCATTATAGCAAAGACAGGTTTGTCTAACACACTTCACTCCAGCATGTATTGAACTTGGCTGACCCTGATCTCATCAGAACTGGAAATGAGAGATTTGGACATCCTGTTTTGAAACCAGGTTAATGTAGCTGAAAGTGTTTGATGTGACTGGAACATCTTAATTTGTACTTTCTTCCTCTGCAAACCAGCTGGGGCAGTAGGATTTCTGAATATTGCTGGACATGTAATCGTAAGGGGTCTTTTTTGTTTTTTTGGTTTTTTTTGAAATTCTTTGTAGTCACATTAGACAAATGAGGTAACATTAGAAGACTTTGATATGCAGCTCAGGCTTGTAGGGGTATTGACATAGATTTCAGAACTGCCGGAGCACAGCAGTCTAGTTGACTATGTGATGTTGCGGATCTTACAGAGCACTGACTTTTGTGTTGTGCCTATGTCTCCAGAGCATTTTTTAATGCAGTGCAGTGCGGCCTTTATCTGGCTCGGAGTTTCCTAGACATACGTGCTAGTACAAGAATGTTTAAATTCACATTTTTTTTTTTACCTGAGTTTATCTAGAATAGACTTTTTTTTGCCAAAGTGGGAAACTTTTTCAGATGACCTTGAAAGAGCAGCCCAAATCTTAGATATATTTATCTGATGAGAAAACCTGACTGGTTCGCTTTTGAAAACAAATCTCCTGCATAGGCTAAGAATTACAAAGTCTTTTAGAGCCAGACCGTGGGCTGAGAGCACATAGCAGGTAAAACATAGCATGGCTGTATGGAAAAACACACTTAGTGTGCTTGCAGACTATACCAGCAAAATTGCAGTCTTGCAGTGTGATTCTGTCTCATTTTCCCTGGGAAAAACAAGTTATGGCTTATTAGGCACCCGTTTGCTGACGTAATTGTCTATACTAAGGGCTTCTGCTGGCTCAGCTACGTAGTTGGAGATCGCACTGCTGAGCGGCAAAAAATTGCGTTGTAGACCTGGCTTATGGCTGTTTCTGAAAATCATTCTTTTGCCTCTGTGTTTTATGCAAATATTTCCTTGTGATAGTAACGGTCTGGACTATCTCAGAACAGGAGGGGGGAGTTAGCTATACGCCCCTGCAGTGTGATATGCAGCACAACTGCCTGAGCACAGTGAGAGAGCATGGGCAAGTTGTCTTTCCCTTCTGCTGGTCAGAGGTGTTTGCAAGGCAAAAGGCTGAGGATCCAGTTTTCACTTCCAGCACTGGAATGCACCAGTCCCTGGTTGCAGACAGCGTTTCAAAGCACAGCTTCACAACCAAGCAATTAAGAGTTTCATTTGTTCAGAGGGATTTATGTAGTCTTAAAATACCAGATGAGAGGCTTCCTAGCCGGAAGCCTCCTTACCAAAGCAGACATTTTCTGTCACATTAGAGTTGAAATGTGACTGAGACTGCCTTCTTTAGTGTATTTCTATTTCTTTGTTTTATTTTCCCTGATAGATTGCTCCTTTCCAGTCAGGAGAGTATTCAAGGAGATTGAAAGAAGCTACTGTTTTGCCTGGTTGGCAATCTGAACTCCCTTGACAATGGTATTGCTAAAATGCCATAGTCTCATGATGCTTGGGAAGCAAGGCTAAAAATCTGTTAAATTCCACAGACTTGGGGAGAAAAATCTAAGCAAAACTTGCCAACAGCTTTTGCAGATTTATCTTGGCCCAGCAGTTATCCAGTATGTTAACAGCAAAAGCCATGGAACGGTTACTTGGAAAATGAATTACACAGTATGTGAAGCACCTCAACAATGTTCTTCAAAAAAATAGTACGATGCCATGTAATCTACCACAACATGCTATGCGGGTTTCCATTTGTCTTGGATGTCTTCAGCTCCAAGTTCCACACTAGCTATGACAGCAAGGATATTGACAGCAAGGATATAGAACCCTTTGTGTGTTTTTCCAAGCATCTAATATACACTGTGATTCCTCAAATTCAGTGGGAGGGGAATGTGCAACTCTGCAGAAATCTTGGGTTTTGTTTGGCTCCCAAATTGCTGTCAGCTGCAGAGTTTAGTTTTTCCCATCTGACACTTCACTGTTTGTTATTTCGTTCTCGTGGGGTAGAAGAACATTAACTTGAGTCCTGTTATGTCCCTGTCATGTCTAGGCCGTCACCTCATTGTTGTAAAGCAAAGGATTAATGTTTTCTTTGAACATGCAGTGGCCCTGGATTACTTCTCTGTTCTGGTGCGTTTCCGATTTACTGTAACTTTTGTTTCTAAACCTCCAGAACTGAGGTGGAGATTTCACACGTAGCTTGCTCTATGCAGGCTCCAGCAGTCACCTTCATGCAAATCTCAGGTGTAACACTTTCGTCCTCGCTTGCAGCTAATTTTAGGGTTTCACATGTGTTGAGGTCATCATGTCTCAGGAAGGGGGCTAGTTTCATATTTGGGGCTCAGAATGTTTTGCCTGTCAAATCTAGTTGCAGCTAATGTCACAGTCCCCTTTGCCAGCTGAACGGCTTGGAGGACCAAGTGTGTGGCAGATCTTGCTGATGGACTTCGGTGTCTCTCCAGTACCCACTGGAGGGCAGTATAGGCTGCTCTAACCAGCTACAGTCAAATGGTGTTGCCAGCTGTCTCCTACCTTTCATCCTACATTTTACAGTGCTAGATTTCTGCTTTTTATTTTCTTAGACTGATGACTATTTGGGCTAGACTTTCAGAGTAAAGAATGTGGTGGAGTTCTCATAGGTTGTTTCAGCCTGGCCCTGACATTCAAAAGAGCTCTAGTGTTATGAACAAGCTGTCTGGACCAGCGAGGCTGGTTATAGGGTAAACCACAAATAAGACTAAGGCTATATAGAAGGAAAGAAGTACGGCAGTTGAGTTTTGGTTGTTAGGGGCCCAGCTAAATGGTATCAAAACAGCTTAAGACTGGCAAACTGTGTCTGTGTGCTTTGTTGTAAGCTGTTAGGTCTATCTGCAGGTTGCTTCAGCTATGGAGAAGTGGAAGACAGCAATCCGTGAGGCCCAGACCTTCTCCCGTATGCATGTGCTGCTTGGGATGCTGGATGCCTGTATCAAGTGGGATATGTCAGCAGAGAATGCAAGATGCAAAGTGTGTCGCAAGAAAGGTAGGCATCCCTGCCCCAAGCCTACATAACAGTCAGGCACTGTCACCTCTCCGTGCCCTGCTTAGGCAACATGACCTTGTAATCTGTCACTCTGACTTTGGCTGTATTCTGAGGTTTGAGCATCAGGATTTACACAGTCAGAAGCACTGATCTCACAGAAGCATTTGGCCCTGACTGCAATTAACCGTTCTTATGAAACCAATATCCAGTCTTGCAGAGCTGCTATTCCCTGGATGTTTAGGGTACTTGGGCACAAGTCATCTTCAAATCCTTCTGCGAATATTTGTGCCGCTCTCTGCATCTTGGTTGCATTTTTGAGTTGGAATTGTCTTGCGGTCTCTGAGCCTTGTGAGTTAATCCTATCTCTTACAGAAGGAACAAACAAGAAGAGGTTGGAGAGGTTAATACTCTGTGACTGAAGGGGGGAGAGCACGGTGGGACGATGCTAGTTTGAGGCAAGAGTAGGAGCAGAACCGCTTAATGAGCGGGGAAAAAGCAAACTTTCTCTCTTGTGGGAGAGCAGAGGAAAGAGGCTATGTTCCATTTGCTGCTGCTCTGGTAGGGCTGGGGAAGTAACCAGCCAGCAACAAGAGGCCATGTGCACTGTGTTGAATGGTTTTAGAGGTTTGCAGGTGGAGAGGGAAGTAGAAGCAACCAATAACAGACTTCTGGTAAATGTTCTACCGTAACCTTTCCTTCCGAATAAAAGCCCAGAGAGAAGAGCGTGGTAGCATGAACTTCCTCATCATGTGCTTTTGTCTCATTTTCCGTTTGTGAAGCACTAGTGGGAAATTAGGACAAGCAGACCTCCAGGGGGATGCTGGGCCACTTCTGTTTGCTATGCTGCTCACTCTTTTAAAGAAAAGAAGGCTGAACTGGTGCAGCATCCTTCTTCACTGTAGAGCCTCAGAGATATTCCAAACCAATGGAAAAACTTTCTTGCATGCTGTCAAGAGGGTGTTCCAGGCAAATGCAAGAGGAGGTTCACCTGAGACTAATAGATTTTAGTTTCACAGAACTAGTAAACTGGGATGTCAGAGGAAGAGACAGGCAGGGAAACTCTCTGCGCTTTCTTTTAATAGATGAAATAGCTGGCTCAGAACTATTTCCTTTTTCCCCTGCATCAGTGAAGACCACAGAGAGACTAGTTCTGCTGCATACTGGTTTTCTGTGGGCTTGCTACCTTGAGTGGAAAGGGGATGCTGAGCAGGTTGACTAGCTTGATGCTAGAATCAAAATAGCTGTATTTGTAACTTCTTGCTAGGCTCTTGGGCATCTCTGCAGGAAACGTCTCTTGTCCTGTGTTTTGTTGGGGTTTAGCCTGGCTGGAACCCATTCGGCAGGTTTTTACCTCTGTCTCAAAGGAAATACCTGCAGGGCTGTGGACTTTGCTTTGGGGGCTGGGGATTTTGCTATGTGGAGTTTTAAAATGCTACTGACTTCCGCTGCTGTAGTAGGACTGAGAAGGTAGAGTCCCTGCCATGAGAGGGCACTTTGCATCATTTTCTTTCTTTGTTCCGACCTCCAGTGCTGTGGGGGCTTCTGCTTCTCAGGCTGAGCAAGACTGAGGCACTCAGTTACAAATAATATGCCCTCTCTTAGGTGAGGATGACAAGCTGATCCTGTGTGACGAGTGTAACAAAGCCTTCCACCTATTTTGTCTGAGACCAGCACTCTATGAGATACCAGATGGTGAATGGCAGTGCCCAGCTTGTCAGCCATCTACTGCCAGACGCAGCTCACGGGGCAGGTGAGTGACCCTCCATTCCTTTTGAGGTATTGCGGATGCAGAATTCTAGCTGTACTTTCACAATGAGACCAAAAAGCTTTAAACAGAGCTGCTTTTACAGAATTGAAATAGCCAAGTTAACTCAGTGGCACTTGAACAATAGAAAAGTAATTTTTTCAGGCTGTAACTTTAGCACACCTGTGTGGTATTGACCCATGACAACTTCAGGGGTTTTAATGAGTAACTTCAGTGCAGCAGTGAAAACATGCACAAAACATCAAGCAAAGTCCTGTGTGCTAAGGGTTGCTGTTTCATTTGACTGAGCAGTGGGCTGGGTTCCTTTTTCATGGGAACGTAGTTAACAGCACTGTAGCTCTTGCTGTATTCCACTGAGCTAAGTTAACTGTTGTGTCCTTGTCCGGTTAAGGCAGATACTCCGGGCTATTGCTTAGTCGCAACTCTGCTACTAAAAAGCAGGCTATGAAAGGCCACTCTGGCAGTTGTCTGGACCTGATAGGCATTGGCACCTTAACAAGGCAGGAACCTTTTTAAAGGCACAGAGAGAACATGATTTGATGAGGAATCAAAGTTGCAGCAAAACGCAACTGAATTCAGTATTTGCATTCTGACAGCGAAGGGATTGAACTATATTGTGAATTGCAGGCTGGAAGTTAAATGTATACAAAACATATTTTTCTGCCCACAATGGGTAATGTATGTCCTCTGCTAATTGTGACTCACTGCTGCATCTGTCTGCTTGTCGGCAGGGTGAGGCTATCAAATGGCATCTGAAGCATAAGCAGTCAACAGATCCTCCCTTCCAGAGTGGCAGCACAATAAGAGGTGTACTAGCTTGTAATATGCAGGTGGTATATGGCCTTAAAAGTATTAGTTACTCCCTGGGCACTGTCTAAAAGAGTTTGAGGCTTGTACAAAAATGACAGGGCTTTAACACAGTTGTTCTAGCCTGAGATCATAGTTACTTTGATGTGGCGGAGTCACCTGCAAGCTGCTTGGCTCCTGGATGAGAGCCATCAGGTGGGATAACACCTGTCTTGTTAGCTGCCTTCTGCTAGGCATAGCTGAGGCATGAATCAAGTGTTGGCCTTGAAACTCTTTTACCCCTGTGCTGTAGGAGCTTATGCTTATGCCATTTAGTGCTCAAGATTGTCTTTCTCCAGGACAGCGGATTGGGACACCCACAACTTTGTCTTTGTCCCCTTCTGTCTATACACGCTACTTTGTTTTCCTGTTTCTGTTATAGTTATGAGTGCTTTAACAGGCACATGCAAAAAATTGGAACTGTCCTGGGCTGGGAATCTTTGTGGTTTCTGACATCTTCCCACCGGGCTCATAAGCCTGAATTGATGCTCTGCTCAGTAATAAGTATAGAAGCTTAGTTTCGAACACGCTGAATAAGCTCTGTTTCCTACAGCACACGCACAAGTGGCATGACAGTGGAAGGGGATGAATGGGGAAGCATTCCAGCAGGAACAGAGAAGTTCCTATTCTGAAACTCCTTGGGCCAGGCCTTTAGACCTAGCTAAAACAACAGGACTTCTTGTCGGTGAGGAATTAATTGCACAGCAGTCACTGTTATTACATGGTCAGGGTGTCTAGAACGGTTAAAAAAAAAAAAAAATGCTCTTCCACCACACAGGTTCAAGCTGTTGGAGATTTCAACCCAGATTTTCCAGATGATAGTCTGGCAAGTGCCCTTTTAGCCATAGCTACAACATGATACTTTCTGGAATACGCTAGACTTCTTCAGTTTGAAACTCGATGTTTATTTTACAGTGAGGTGGTCAGCAAGTCTCTGTGAACATAAAGAACAGAGAAACTCCTAGGGCCTCTGACACCTGGGCTCTGGTACAGCAAATGTGTTTACATGCCTTGCTCTAGGAACTATACAGAGGATTCTGCTGAAGATGAAGGTGAAGAAGGTGAGGAAGCTTCTGATGAACAAGATGCTGAGGAGGAGGAGGAGGAGGAAGATTATGAAGTTGCTGGACTGAAATGTAAGCCTTTGTGCAGAAAAGTAATATAAAATATTAAGGCTCTGCCTTCACTGTCCAAAGTACTGATTTCAGGCTCGTGCTTTTCCTCGCACAGAACAGGTTCTTACTTTGAATGAGTGGGAGATTTTACAAGGGAATGCTGTGGTCGCGTGATACATATCTGGGTAGCTGGATTGAACTATCTTCATATTTTTCTCTTGTGACTGAAACAGCACTAGCAAAGTTTGAAACTTCAGTCAGCTCCTGCTCACTGGCCGGTCACTACCCTGGGGGTGCTTCTGAGACCATTCCTGTTGGATGGCACAGTACTCAAGGTGTGCCATGACCTGGACTGCCAGCACCCTTTATCTGCATATAGAGACCACTCAGTGCATAGCTGACTCATTCCTGGGCAGCTGAATGGAATAAACCAGCGTGTTCTAGACTCAAAATAGATGTTTCTCCATCCTGAGATACAGCATAACTACATAGCACTTTCTGGTATATGTATCCACTATTTTTAGGGGAATTTGTCTCATTTGGCGTGGCTTAATGCACTGGAAAAGATCAATCTTGGCAGTGCACACAGGCAGCATTTGCTTTCTGTCAAAATATCCTTGATTGACATTAAATTAGCTTTAGACTGTCTTCACCAGGGCAGATGGTGGAATTCAGAGACAGACCCAAAGGATTTTTCCGTGTTCTTTCAAGGGTTTCCATCCAGGTCTGTCGGTGTCGATTCCCCTACTTTTTTTTCTGGTTTCAGCGATGTTCACTCATACCCTGGCTATATATGCTGCTTTGTTGTTCTGCGGCGTATCCATGTCCACACTTGGCCACGCAATATTGGCTGAACACACTCCAAGTCAGGAGCAAAGCCAAGGTTTCGAAACAATAGCAAAAGAGGGTTACAGTCACTAAAAATAAAGCACTAAATGCAACCCTTGGTTTTGAAGAGCATTAGTGTGGAAAGGTCATTGTGGAAAACTTTTGTTTTAGTAGAGAAGTCCCATTAATCCTTGTGGCGTTTATCCTGAGGGATATAGCCTAGAATGTTGGATTGTCAAACATTCAACACATGCCACACGCTTGACACACAAGCAGGAGTGACAGCAGACAGACGTCCCACTGCCCTGACACACGCTCCTCCTGCAGGGGGGCCTGGCAAAATGATTTATTGGACAGGGCTGGATTAGAGGCCGCAAATGAAGTGCTACAGTTCGCTGGATGCAGCTTGCCTTAGGCGCTTGCGACCAGGTGGAAGGAGCTTGGCTGGGGAAGACGACCAACGCATTCTCCCAATACAGAGGGGTCAGGGGAGAAACTTAAGACAAGAGAGTTCGTCAGCACGCTTGCATTTCCATCAGTTTAAAACCCTGACAGGAGACTTGACAAACGGGCAAAAGCATTTCTGCAGAACATAATGCAGCAGCCCCAGCCCTGGCGAATAAAATTCCATTGTTTCCCACTTGCAGCACATGGAGCAGCTCCCTGCTGCAGTAACTCGACACTCCCTCTGCACACAGTTTGCTTTTCAGGGGGGCTTAGCAACTGGCTTATCCCACTGTGTGGGCTACTTGTAAACGCTTGGAAAGGCACCCGTCCACAAACTGGTGAGGAGCAAGTGGACAGCAGGAAGCTGGAGTGCTTGTGCAAGTTTCTGCTTCCAGTGCTTTCAGAAAAGATGTTGCAGTTATGTTCAGGACTTAATTATGTCCTCACATTACTTTCCCCACCCTCCCTCAAGTCTTGATGTGCCTGGATTTCAGCACTGCAAGCTGAGGGGTTTTCTATTATAACACTGAGAGAGCGAGCGAGCAAGCCTTAACTGTGTCAGCGTAGCCAGAAGCCCCCAGATCTCTCCCAGAAGTAGAGGGTCTGCCAGCACTGTAGGCTGGTATGTGCGATGACTCTTGAACAGAAGGCCGTTGCCAGACAGCAATGGCCTTTTTTTGGACAGGAGGTGTTTACCCCCATATCTCATCTGGAGAGAGTATTACGAGCACAGCTGACATGAGCATGTGCTGAGTGAGGAGGGACTGACAAGAAGCTGGGTCATTCCAGTTATCTTTGGGTTCACTAGCTCTTCTTTGCTGTGGGTGAGACTCTGGTGTGCGTGGCTGGGCAAAGGACTGATGATCTCTGCTTCAGGTATTGGATCTGGAATGACTGTGTTTTGTATTTGACTCTTTGAGAGTGGGTCTGTTTGTGTGTGTGTGTGTGTGCAGACAGTGCTCCCTGCCTCAGAGAGGTAGTGTTGCTTGAGTCAGCTTCCCACAACCAGGTAAGAAGAGGTGAAGCTAATACAACATGCTTTCTCTGTCTTTGATTGGATTTGTGCATTTGAGAGATGTTCTTCTGCTTCCCTTCCAAGTTAACCCATTCCTCTAAGCCCATGGCTTATATATTTCAGTGAGACCCAGAAAGCCAGCCCGGGGCAAGCAGAGCACAACCATGTACTCTTCGAGGCAGGGAAGGCACCAAAGGAAGAAGCAGTCGCTGCACTCTGCCAGGGGACCCGGGCAGCGGGCTGCACCTGTCAATGGAGCAGACATTGACGAGCTGGTAAGAGCCAAATTGCTCCCAGGAGGCTGCTCACATCATGAGTTATAAATGAAACAGGTGTCACACTTCCTCCCCTCCCCTTCCCAAAGAAATACCCTGAATTGTATTGTGAAACCCATGCTGGGCTGAGATCGGGTTAACAAAGGAGGCACATCCTTAAGGGCCCGGTACAAACGGAGCACAGATATGATAGGCATCTTTCCCCAGCCACTTTCACACATTGTCCCACTTGATTAGCAGGCAGCCTGCAGCTTGTTAAAGGGTTTTAAATAGTATCCATATGTCTCTGCAGAGAGGTAGGGGGCTGAGGGGGTCCTGGACAGTCAGAGAATGCCAGCAATGCAGGACCCTTGCTCCCCAGCCTTGGCCGTTTTCTGACAGTTGTTGTCTGTACACTCACTCCCCAACCTCCAGGACATAATTCAGCTGCTTCAGGTTTCAGTTGACATTTAAAGAATAAAACCTTATGCTCACGAACAGAGCAATCTTGTGCGTGTGTGCTAGGCAGGGTGGAGCTACAGTGTTCTGTGCTGTTTGTCCTGGAGAGGGACACACCACAGGGGATACGTGAGGATGCTTTAGCCCCATGGGCGACGTCACAAGCTTCTGCTAGATCTGTCATGTGTCTGCTGGTCAGCACTAGTAGTGCTGCTGGTGTATCCTGTCACTTTTCTCGGTTGTCCTTGATCACAGACTTTGCTTCTTGCGTAGGGTATGTGGGCTGGTTAGTGGTTCTGCAGTGTCCTTTTAGCTGGTCTGTGTTACAAATTGGAGGGCAACCAAACGAACAAGTCCAGCATGGGCTGCCACAGCCAACTTAGAGGGATAGTCAAGTGGGAACAATCTTCCTGGAGCAGCTGGCTCAGGAACTTTGACAAAACACTGACGTGGGAAAGAGGGCTCTGCTAGAGCTCTTCCGCTTACTCTTTATTCTGGGAAAAACCAGAGCTGGCTCAGGAGTAGCGCCCTGTGTTGTGGAGCCTTCCTGTCATCTGACACATCACAAGCAGCAGTGCCTCTCAAGCTGTGTGGTCAGAGCTGAGATCCTTTCCCCTCTAGTGGGGGCTGATCCCTTGGCAAATGGCTGACCTTGTGTTCTGCTTGTGTACTTCTCCAGGACAGCAGCACTCAAGGCATCAGCAGCTGTTTGGTATTTAAAATGGCATGGTAGTCTCTGCAGTGGGCCTATTAATACGGTAGCACAAGTGCTTTCTCCCTCTGCCTCGCGCATGCTGTCCGCCAGGGGCTCGGAGAAGGGAGAGGGAATTTGCAAACTCCATTTGCTGTCATTTATTCTTTGGCTGCTTGTTTTGACCATGTTGCCTTTGAACCTATCTTGAAAAAGCTTACTGCCCCTGGAGAAAAGAGAGGCTGCATATAAACTATTCAGAGCTTCTGAATGGGGTTCCCATTCTGTAACTCAAGCTGCCACAGCGTGTCTTGGCTGTTACCATCAAAGGTCCCGCAGCAGTTTGCCTCTTGATTACTGGGAGGGAGGGCTGCATTTGAAAGACTTAAACTTTGTTTTTGCAGTGGTACTACTTCTCCCTGCCCCTTGAGACACTAGCTTGTAAGAGGATTGAAAAAGAAAACTCTGCTAAGAACCAGCTTCTTTGGCCTAGAAACTGTTTGCTGAACACTAAGCCCCATAGTGGTTCCCCTCCTTTTAACAGCATCCCTCCTTTGTGTGGCCAGGTCCTTCAAACGAAGAAGACTGCACGTCGCCAGAGCCTCGAATTGCAGAAATGTGAGGAAATCCTCAGCAAATTGATCAAGTATCGCTTTAGCTGGCCCTTCAGGTGAGGGCAGACAACCTCCTCCTCCTCCGCGTGTGCCAGGCTGTGTGTGGATGTGGGCTGGCCATGCTGTGGGCCTGCTGGATCCACTTGCTGGCTGTGAGACCTGGGCTTCAAAAGCAATTTACAGAAGGGAAGGAGGGGAGCAAATCTGCTCCAATAGAAACCACTATGCTCTCAGTTCTCCGCTGAGCTTAGGAAGTTGGGCTCTTTTGAGGTAGTGTAACAGCAAGGGTGGTGGGCTGTGGGCTGAAGAGAGGAGGATGGGATCAGTGCTTTTCTGCAGCCCTCAGGATGTGCAGAATGCTCTCTGGGCTGCATGACTGAAAGAACATAGCTCTGACCTGCCAGTGCCGGTCCCTGTGCTCATACCAGCAATCTGGGCAGGAGGACAGGCTGCTGGTCTTCCTGCTGTCAGTGCTGCTGACCACCGCTGGGCTTAACCCATCTTAGGCATTGTCAGGATACTTGATTTTATTGCAGCGCTACCGGGAGGTGCAGGCTAGGGCTGCCGCTTGAGCAAAGGGGATGGGGGTGATCCACACTTCTCTACAGCTCTGTACTGTGTAGTTGGCAGGGCCTGACTGTCGTTTTCCTCCTATCTTTGTGGCCCTTCCTTCGGCAGGGAGCCAGTGACCACAGAGGAAGCCGAAGATTACTTTGAGGTCATCAGCAACCCTATGGACTTCCAGACTATGCAGAGCAAGTGCTCTTGTGGCAATTACCGCTCGGTGCAAGAGTTCCTCTCTGACATCAAGCAGGTGTTCTCCAATGCCGAGCGCTACAACCAGAACGGGAGTCACGTACTGTCCTGCCTGGAGAAGACAGAACAGTGTTTGATTGACATGGTGCACAAACATCTGCCTGGCCACACATATGCACGCAGGAAACGCAAGAAGCTCTCTGCCAGGTGCCAGGGACTGGAGGAACAGGAAGGGGACAGTGAGCCAGAGCCTCTTGAACATTCCCGGGGGCGGAAGAGGAAGAAATGAGGGATGGGGAGGTTAGGGGGAGAGTCAGAGCTGGAGCAGGTCTTCTGGTGCTGCTGGGCAGCAGGATGGGCTGTCTGGAGGGAGTAAGGAAGCAGCAGGCACTTCTCTATTAATCCAGCCTTTCCTTTGGCCCGTCCTAGTTTTAATTTTTCTGCGATTTCCTGAAGTATTTGGTCATCCATTGAGTGAGCAGAGACGACTTGCTGCTTCCCACAAAATACACAAAGCTCTTATGAGACTGTCCTGCTAGGAGGGGAAGGTGGGAGGCCGAGAGGAAGGCCTGGCTGGCCAAAGCCTGGCTGGGCAGGGAGCATCAAGCCTACTCCAGTTTGGGCACTATTGGCTTCCTTGGAACAAGCCGCTTCCTCCCCTCTCTGTGAGCAGCCAGCGCTGGAGCACGGTGGGACCTCTGCTGTCTGCTGCCTGTGATGTGAAACCAGCCTTGAGCTGGCGTGGGGAGGGATCATATTGCTTCACAGAAGGACTGGGTGTGATCGGGCCAATGGGCCGCTAGTTCTTGTATGTATATATTTATATGGTGTTAATTTTGAGCCCCCAATGAAGGGCTGCATAGGGCGAGCAAGCACTTACATTTATGGAGATAAAGCTTTCACCAGCATCATAATACAATTGGCTTCAGGGTGCTCTTGCTTTTTCCCCTCTCTCTTTTCTGGGGGAGCAATCTCTGGAGGTTGTGCTCTGAAGAGAGAGTTCTTCTCAGCTCAGCACTTCACTTTTACATGGCAAAGAGTAGACAGTTGGTTTTCCTGCTCACCTTTCACAGCATACAATCATGTAGCCCTTTGAGTGGATGAACCGAGTGCCAGAGGCGTATTGGAGAGCATGGTTTTCTGCACGCCCTGTAGGAAAGTCCGGGGCGAAGGGAGCAGCAGACGCCTGCTCTGTGTAACTTTTTAAATTAATTTTCTAGTTATTAAAAGTGGCTTGTTTCTAGCAGTGATCCTGTATAAAGAACACCTGTAAGATACTGTTGTCTTGCTTTGGCACATGTACAGTTTATATGAAATCGTGTTTGCTTTATATTTTCCCCCTCTCAAACACTCATTTTCTTCTCGGTAGCTGGAGTTACGCAGGGGGACTTGGTGGTGGGGGTCTCCCAGTCCCTCTCTAGCCATGCTCTTATCTCCTTTTATAGTAATAGCTTCCCTAACTCACCTCCCTCACCCTCCTTCAGCACAGCAAGGACCATCTCACACCGACCAACCAGCAGGGAAGCCCGCTCTTGCTGGGAAGAGTATGAAGCTGCTCTGTTGTGGCCCCAGCAGTGGGTTCTGCCACTCAAGATACTGACTTTTCTCAAAGAAAAAGATGTTTTTTTAATCACTTCTCCCTCTCTGTTGTGACAGATTTTGATCATACAATCAGGGTTTGAACTTTTTATTATATAGATGCTTAATTTGGAACAAAAGGATAACAAGGCTGTTCCATACCAATTTTTTTAAAACAGAAAATACAAAACCCATGGTTGCAGCTCCGATGATTAAAGAATAACAAAATCATCAGTTAAATTGCAGCCTAGTTTCGTGGACTTTTTAATTGTTTAACGATTCCAGGCGTTTGTTTCAGTTCTGGACTGTTGGTGGCTGCAAAGACTATGGCAGGTTTCCAGCCACTTCCCTCTTCTCTCCCCAGGCCCAACTCCCTGCCCCACGGAATAGCACTGACGTTTGTATTTCGCACGTCCCCTTCAGAGGCTTTGTTTTGTCCGTTAATATAGAACATTTTCTGCAGGTCCTATATGGTGAAACCTTTGGAACTGTACATTTTTTAAAAATAAATGTCATTTGTGGGGGGTGGGGGTTTCTGCTAAGGGCTGTACTTGTAATAAATTGGAAACTTAAAAATAAACATTATGTACTTGTGTTTGTAAAATTAGCTTGCAGCAAATCCTTTGTGGTGCTCTCTGTTCATGCAGGATTGTCCAGGATACTTTGTCCCTTGCAGGGCCCTCCCTTCCGCAGAGCCTGCGTCTGCGATGCCACTGCCTAATTTCTTGAGGGGAAAATGGGGCTGCAAAGCAAAGGATTAAAGGAACAGCGAGTCTGCGTTCAGTCAGCTTACAGCTCTGTGGAGGACCCTCTTCTAAGCCAAACTCCACTTGGGGTTGGTTATACCAGCCCCTGCGGCATGCTGCTCATGGGGCCAGGTAGCATGGCCTACTCACTGAGCATGCTTGGCCAGCTGGGTTGTGCTGCTGTAATCAGCACTGCAGCAGGGCTGCTTTCACACAACCTCTCCTAAGCCTTGCTGGGTGGAAGATGACTGCTGGAATGGACGTGTGTGCTCCAAGCTGGCCCTGTGGATTGTCTCCCCCAGAGACAAGGGGGCTCTGCCTTTCCTGCCCCTGCACAACGGAGGTTGGCCGCTATGAGGGAGCAGCTCTTGCACCGGCCACCTGTCTCAATCCCTTGGCCCCTTTGGACTGCCGGCGTGACGCTTGTCCTTCTCCTGCCACAACATGCGCCACTTCTTGACTGCACGATGGCGCCATGGTTGCTCTCTTGACGGGAATACGAAGGAGTGATGGGGGCAGCTGAAACATCTTTGCTCTTTCACCTCAATGGCACTTGGCTGGATGACCGTCAAAATTTCCTCCCTAGTTTTGTCAATGTGTATTTTGCAATCGCAGCCTTGTTTGCTTCAGTTCAGAGAGCAGTGAGGACTGTTTCCACTGTGTCTCCAGAGAGCACAACTCCCAAACTGTGCTGGTCTCTAGCAGTGTAGCAGGGCCGCTAACATACCAAGCTCCAGAGCCAGGTGAAGCAGCACCGATCTGGGAGGGACACACTGATACTGAGCTGCAACTGGTTGTTGATGGAACTTATGTGTTGGCCAAAGTTTATGTCTGCATTTTTAACATTGCCAGGAGTGTGACACTTTCCCAAGTATCTTTACAGTCCTGCCTGCAGAAGCTGAGCTAGGCAGTGCTTCTGGAGCTGACCCAAGGTGCGTGGGTTCCCGTGGGGGTCTAGCAGTTCCTACTGGCCTCTGGCTGTGTTTACAGCCTGCAGTGAAAAACCCATGTGCAATGGGGCAAAGCTTAACTGCCTGCAAGGCAGGAGGATGGGCCCAGGGTGTTCCCTGGGCTCGGTCTCCTGGAATACCTGGTGTGCAGGGTGCCAGCCCTGCAGTAGTGTCACAGCCCCTTAAACACCATGGACAAACATGCCTTTTCCCAGAGAAGCCTCATCCCCTTGCCACAACTGAGATTTTGCTTGCTAGGCATGTGCTAGGACCTGGGTGAATCAGAGCGTGACTCAAGCTGGGATGTTTCCAGCCTTCAGCATGGAGACCTCACACCAGCATCTGCTCTGAGACCTTTTCTGAGACTTGCTTTTTATAGCAGCCCCTGCATGGCGTTGGTGTCCTGTGCAAAGGCTATAAATAGCCATCCCCACTTCTTGCAGGCGAGTGTGCAGGGCTGGCTGGTGGCAGTGGCCTTGCTGCCTGCAAGCCCAGACTGTTGGCACTGCAGGCCAGTGGGTGATAGTGGAATCCAGCTGCACTTGCCACTTTGGTGGGGCTGTTCTGTGACGAACCCATGCAGGGAACACCTCTATTTTCTGGCCCTCCAACCTGACCTGAGGAGGAAGGCAATAAGGCCGCCAGGGACCAGGAGCCAGTGCTTCTGTGGCTGGGTACCCCTCCTTGGGCTTCCTCATGGCTTAATAATTAATGTTAATCAATTGTTCCTGGCGACTTGGGATGTTTAGTGTGTTCCCAGAGCAGGGTAGCTTTCCTTCCACTGCTGAAAACCTGGAGGGATCTTCCTGCCTTTTCAGTGAGGGAGGTAACATCTCCCAGCTCATTGAGTGGCTGGGAGTGCTAGGCTTGACTTCTGCATGGAGCCAGCTGGATCAAGGCCTCGGGGCATCCCGAACCAGCTCTTACCCTGGCAGCAGCCCAGGTTCAGCCTCAGCAGTCTTCTTTCCAGCTTCCTTGTCATTGGTTTTATTGCACTGGCAATGTACATCCACAGACCTGGGCATCCTGGGTGGGCATCCTGTGACCACCCAGGAAGGCTGCCTCGGCAGCAACATGACTTGTGTTGAGTCCTGCTCAGCTGGCCTCTTTTCCCTTTTAAAATAGGCTCCTGAGTCACTGGGCCCAAATCCTGCCTGGGCAGAGTGTGTCTCCTGGCCTTGGCAAGGGCAAGCTGGGGCAGGCCCTGCAAGAGGGCTGCTCAGACCAGCCAGGGCTCTGGGGATTAGCAGTGCACCATGCACAGGCAGTCTGCACTGCAGTGGCCAGGCTAGTGGTATCAGCTGCTGGATTCTGGATTCTGGCTGTGTTTGAGCATTGCTCCAAGAAGGATATAGGGGAGATGTCGCACTGGGTCTGGAACGAGCGCAGTGGCATGAGTGTACTAGGGAAAGGCTGACCCTGCCCAGCACATGCTGGGCTCTAGGGGTACAGATGTGGCAGAAACTGCTGGCACTTTGAGAGGGACGGTAACATTGGAGCGATCCGTGACATGCTGAAAGCTGCTATGATGCTGGGACAGGAGGTGCCCTGGCACAGGGCAGGCCAGCGGGGCACCTCCAGTCTGAGGACAGCGCTGTTGAAAGGCTCTGTGGTCACAGCGGGGCTAGCTGCCCCCAAGTGCCATTGGGCCTTTCATGGTCCGGCACTGCAGGTCCATGACAGCTGGTTTCCTCCAGTGGAGCCAGCAGGGCTGCTGGGGCTGATAGTGCAAGGTGGTAGGACGCCAGTGGGCCCCAGCGCTGCCCGATAGCTGGGGCCCGGCAGGACTCGCTTATCTAGGTGAATGCTTGAGAGGCAGCAAGTTATTGGCAAGTGCACGAGGTGCTCAAGGGCAGCCTGCCCCCCACTGGACTCCACGAGCCGCCTGGGGAGCCAGGACAACTGGCTGCCATCATCCCTGCCCTGGGCTCCCCCAGCTTCACCTTCATCCTGGTTGGGAGGGAGGCCAAATGCATACTGAGTTGGCTCAGGGCTTAGCACCAGAGGTGGCCCGTTCACAAGGTGTGTGCCTGGCATAGGGTTGCCTCTGACATCCCTGCTGCTGGGCTGGACCCAGTGGTGCCCAGTTCTTCCTGTGACACCAGCCCTGTGCAGTTTGGGCCTGTGGGCATGGGTCCAAACATGGGCCCTGCCTGGCAGATGTGGGAGCCAGCCGTGCAGGGATCCCCTAAAAAGGCCACTATGCAGGACCTTGACCCTTGAGCAACACTCAAGAGGGGTATTATGGCATTATAAATGTGATTACAGGGTGCCCTCCACTCCGTCCCCTCCCCAGCGTGTCCCCTTGCTTTGCACCATGCACAGTGCCCCAGGACAACCGGTCCCCATGCACTGAACTTTGGAGCCTAGAGCCAATATTGACTCTCCTGCCCCAGGTCGTGCTCCTTTTATCTTCCCAAATAAACCTCCCCATGGCAAGCCAGGAGGAGTCCATGAGGGGCTTGCTACAATCCCCAGCCCCAGAGCAAGGGCACCTGCATGCCTAACTCAGCCACCCAACCTGGCCGGTCCCCAGCCAGTGTCACCCGCTGGCCCTGAGCAGGGCTGGTGCTGGCCCTCGGAGCAGAGCTATGCTCAGGCAGTTCCCAAATATCGCCGGTGGCATGCGAGACAGGATACACTGGGCAAGTGGGCACTGCTTGGCAGGAGGGTGACGCTGGCGACAAGAGCCACCTGCTGGGTGGGTCCCCCGCTCTCAGTCACGGGGACGGGCAGCTGGGTGCCCACCTGGCTGCCTGGCAGGCCCTGGGCTGTGCCTTCCCCAGCTCTACAAGGGCCAGAGGGTGCCAATACCCTGCCATACACCCTGCCAGAGCAAGGTAAAGGCCCTGCACGGTTTGTCCCCTCTGCAGAGGATGCTGTGAGCACATTAGTTTTTGGCAAAGGCTGCGGGTCACATCCTGCACGTGGGAACCAGCCTAGCACTGGAGGCAGCATCGCTGGCCCGGCAGATGCACCGTCCCCCGTGCCTGTCCCAGTATGCTTGCCTTGCTGTCCGCACCAGTCGATACCACCACACGAGCAAGCACCACCTGGGCTGCGCACATGGCTCACGTACCAACACACGCCCCTGCAGGTGTCCCCTCCAGGCTGGCGGAGCACGGCTCACAGGCTCCAACGCCTTGCTGTGTGCAGCCTCCCATCTCTGGGCCGTCGAGCATGGGCGGCGGGCGGCAGCCGGGTTCGTGTCGCGAGAGCCGCTCTCCACAGAGCACGGCTCCCGCTCGGTTTGAAAGCACGGCCTCCCAAGGGAGGTGGGTGTTTTCTCAGATCAGTCACTCAACTTTTCCCGGCGTCTCAGCACCCCCGAGGGCGGTGGGGGGGGGGCGGATTAAAGGCGCTTTGCAACATCAATCACAGCAGAGCAAAGCTGGTGCACAGCGCCTTGCTCAGCTCGGCGGCCCGCACAAGGCTGCTTAACCCTTCCCCTGCTGCGGCCTCGCTCCTTTGGCCCTTTCCACCTGCCACGTCCCCAGTGGACTCCGTGCTGGTGCCAGGCCAGGTCACTGGTGCCTGGGGGTGGCAGCTGGTGATCTGCACTACCCCATGGGCCCCACTGCACTGCCTGTCCCAGGACACCAGCAAAAGCCACAGCCTGATGCTGCTTTCCTCTCCCTCAGCCAAGCTGGGGAAGGCCCAGCAGCTCCCTCGCGGCCTCTTTCAGCCCTGCGGTTGCTAGCCGCAAGGCTACTGGATGGCAGCGAACAGGGATGGACAGATCAGGAGGCCCTGGAGCCTCCCTTGGCCACTGCCAATGCACCTGAGGGTGCTCAGAGGCTGGGGGGGCTGAGGGAGGAGGGGGCCAGTTAGACCTTCCCCTTCCAGCTGGGCCAGTTCACGCAGCACAAGCGACCAATTCAAGGGTATGAGGGCCAGTTTGAAGCTGAAAGTGCATGCAAACCCGGCCGGCGTGCAAACAGCCCTCAGCTTTCCTGCAGGCAAGGCCAGAAGCAGAAGCCGCAGAGCGGCATGGGACAGGCATGCCCTGCCCTGCGCATGGCGGGGGAGGGAGGGGCCACATTTGGGGTTGGAGACACCAGCCCCGGGGAAGGGGGCCTTGCATTTAGAGGGGACACAGCCAGCCACACAAGTGAGTCCTGAGCTGTGCCATGCCCACGGCTCCTATCCCCACAGCTCCGAAGGCGGCTGCGACCGCTCTGTGCCCACAGCCCACAGGTCTCTGCTCTAGGAGGACTTCACCAGCGGCTGATGCTAACGGCAGGTTTGTTGTGTAGATCGATGGAGGCTGGTAATTCAGGTGGTGTAACGAGGGTCTCCGTGGCTTGTTACTCCCCTGCCTCTTTCTGGGAGGAAGGAGGGACAGGAGGCATCAGCCACCCTGGCTGGGGGACCAGCATCATCCCAGCCCGTATGCTGCCTAATTAACAGGCAATTAGATGATGGCCAAGCCTGGTTATCTGTCTACCATGCCTGCTCTGGTGCTGTAGGCCACCGACCGCATAAGTTTGGACCCCTCCGTGCCAGGGCTGCAGCTCCAGAGGGACCCTCAAAGCCAGGCCCCAGAGCCCTCCGGCAGCCCTCGGACCTACGCGGGCCTTGCCCTTGCCAGCGGGGGCCCAGGCCTGCCAGCTCCTCCGGCCACAGCCCTCGCCCACGGTGGGGCCCAGGGCCCACACTCCCCCCCA